CCCCCCCCCCCCGTGTCTTTGTCACGTGGCCACCAGCCTGTGGCCACTACAAGCCCCAAATCATTGTCACAAAGCCACCAGGAGCCCCTGTGTCCCTGTCACATGGCCACCAGCCCCTGGCCAGCACAAGCCCCAAATCTCTGTCACACGGCCACCAGCCCGTGGCCACCATGAGCCCCCAAATCTTTGTCACACGGCCACCGGGACCCCCCCCCGTGTCGCTGTCACACGGCCACCAGTCTGAGGCAGGAAGGGGCGGGGGGAGTTTGGGGAAGGGATTTAGGGGGATTTGGGGGTGCTGAAGGAGGGATTTAGGGGTTTTAGAGGGGATTTAGGTTTTTTTTTTGGGGACACCTTTGGGGGTTTTGGGGCCTTTGGGGGATTTGGGGTGGTTTTTGGGGGGTGGAAGAGATTTGGGGCGTGTTTTGAGGGTTTTTTTCGGGAATTGGAGGTGATTTGGGGTGGTTAAGGGGGATTTAAGGGATTTGGGGGCTGTTTTTTGGGGTGTTTTAGGGGGATTTGGGGTGTTTTATGGGGGTTTAGGTGATTTTGGGGGTATTTTTGGGGTGGTTTTCCAGGGTGTTTTTTGGGCTGGTTTAGCTGATTTTAGGGGTATTTTCGGGGTATTTTCGGGCTGTTTTTCGGGGTGTTTTTTGGGCTGGTTTAGCTGATTTTAGGGGTATTTTGGGGGTATTTTTGGGCTGTTTTTCGGGGTGTTTTTTGGGCTGGTTTAGCTGATTTTGGGGGTATTTTTGGGCTGGTCTTTCGGGGTGTTTTTTGGGCTGGTTTAGCTGATTTTAGGGGTATTTTCGGGGTATTTTCGGGCTGTTTTTCGGGGTGTTTTTTGGGCTGGTTTAGCTGATTTTAGGGGTATTTTTGGGGTATTTTGGGGCTGTTTTTCGGGCTGCCGCCCCACCTGTGACCAGGTCGAAGCAGGTGGTGTGGAATTTGCCCATGTAGAACTCCAGGCCGATGATGGCGAAGATGAGGATCGCGAAGAAGAGCAGGAGCCCGATCTGCAGCAGCGGGATCATCGCCTTCATGATGGACTTCAGCACCACCTGCAGACCTGCCGGGCGAATTTGGGGCGATTTTGGGGGGCTTGGAGGGGATTTGGGGGGGGTTTTGGGGTCTTGGAGGGGATTTGGGGGGGTTTTGGGATGGGGAGGGAAAAGGGGAGGGGTCCCGCACACCTGCGCGGGCACAACCCCGCGGCGCCGCGCGTTTGTCCCCGAACTGCCGCATCCCCCGGTGTCCCCCCGCGTCCCCCGGTGTCCCCGGTGTCCCCCGGGCCCCTCACCCCGTGAGCACCACCACGAAGTCCATGACGTTCCAGCCGTTGCGCAGGTAGGAGCCTTTGTGGAAGGCGAAGCCCAGCGCGATGATCTTGATCCCCGCCTCGAAGCAGAAGATGCCGATGAAATACGGCTCCGTGTCGTCCTGGGGGGGGGACACGTGTGGGGACAGTGCCAGGAGACCCCCCCCGTGTCCCCCCCAGCGTGATCAGGGGGTCAGCGCTGCCCACGACCCCTCCCAGCCCTCCCCAGGTGCCCCCAAATCCCCCCAGCCCTCTCAGGTGGCCCCAGGTGGAGGGGTCCTGGGGGGGGGGACAGGTGCCAGGAGACCCCCCCCCGTGTCCCCCCACCGTGGTGAGGGGGGCAGCAATGTCCCCAGCCCCCTCCCCAGCCCCCCCCCAGGTGGCCCCGGGCGGAGGCGGCGTGGCCCAGATTCCCAGTAAGGAGGAAACTGGGACGCCGCGGAGGGTCCGGGGGGAACTGGGAATCGTGGCCAGCGCGGGCCGGGGGCGGGCTGGCACCCCCCCCTCCACCCGTGCCAGGGGGGCACGGACACGGCCGGGACCCCTCGGTGGGGTGGGGACCCCCAGAGTGGCTGGGGACCCTCCCCAGGACCCCCCAGGGGTGGCAGGGACCCTCCCAGGGGTGCCAGGGACCCTCCCCAGGACCCTCAAGGGGGGCAGAGACCCTCCCCAGGGATGGCAGGGACCCCCAGGAATGGTGGAGACCCTCCCCAGGACCCCTGGGGGTGCCAGGGACCCCCACCAGGACCCCCCAGATGTGCCAGGGACCCTCCCTAGGGGTATCAGGGACCCTCCCCAGGACCCCCAGGGTGCCCCGGGAGCCCTGCAGGACCCTCCAAAGGTGACAGGGACCCCCGGGGATGCCAGGGACCCTCCCCGGGGGTATCAGGGACCCTCCCCAGGACCCTCAAGGGGGGCAGAGACCCTCCCCAGGGATGGCAGGGACCCCCAGGAATGGTGGAGACCCTCCCCAGGACCCCTGGGGGTGCCAGGGACCCCCACCAGGACCCCCCAGATGTGCCAGGGACCCTCCCTAGGGGTATCAGGGACCCTCCCCAGGACCCCCGCCGCCCACCAGCCGCTCCGACATGGGGGTCTTGTCCTCGTCGGGCAGGTGCTGCTCCAGCGCCAGGACGATGCAGTTGGCGATGATGGTGGCTAAAATCATGTATTCAAAAGGAGTGGGGGGCGAGTCAAGGCAAAAACACCGCGCTGGGAGACCCCCAAACCTCCCGGGAGGGAAACTGAGGCAGGAGAGCAGCGCGGAGCGGGGCCGCGCCCCCGGGGTCGGCGCCCGCGTGTCGGGCGGCTCGGTAATTAATTAATTAATTAATTAATTAATTCCCTCATCAAAGCGGCAGCCGCGGCCTCGGCTCCGCGGCGAGATCAAAGCGCCCCGGGCACAGCGGGAGCGGCCGGGAGCGACACGGCACCGCTGGCACCGCTGGCACCGCGGGCACCGGGCACTGCCACCCGCGGGGACGCGTCCCTGCCCTGTCCCCTGTCCCCCTGTCCCACCCCACTGGAGTGCGGCTGGCACCGCGCGGGGGGCTGCGGGCACCCAGCCTGGCACGGCACGGGTGGTCCCACGGGGGTCTCCGGCCTCCCCACGGCCCCGCTGGCACCGGGCACTGCAGCCTGGCACCGGGGGAACAGCCACGGCGCTGGCAGCTGGCACGGGCACCGGGCACCGGGCACGGCCCTGGCACGGGCAGCTGCTGGCCTGGCACGGCACGGTGCCCGGTACCGGGATCCGGCCCAGCTCTGCAACACCCTGGCATGGCACGGGTACCTGGCATGGCTCCTTGGCATGGCACGGGTGCCCGGCACAGCTCAGGGATCCAGGACAGCTCCCGGTACCGGGATCCGGCCCAGCACGGCTCCCTGGCACAGCCTGGGCACCCGGTGCCAGTTCCCCCATCATGGTACAGGTACCTGGCATGGGGAGCTGCTGGCCTGGCACGGCACAGCACGGGTACCCGGTACCGGGATCTGGCCTGGCATCACTCCCTGGCACAGCCCAGGGATCCAGGAGGGCTCCCGGTACCGGGATCCGGCCTGGGATGGGTCCTGGATGGCTCCGGTGCCGGGAGCTGGCCTGGCACAGCTCCCTGGCACATCCCGGGTACCAAGGACAGCTCCCGGTACCGGGATCCGGCCCAGCACGGTTCCCTGCACGGCACAGCTCCCGGAACCGGATCCGGCCCGGCTCCTGGCACATCCCGGCCATCCGGTGCCGGATCCAGGCCCAGCACGGTCCCGGTACCGGATTCTGGCCCGGTTCCTGGCACAGCCCGTCCCGGTTACCGGGAGCAGCGGAGCGCGGCGCTGCAGCACGGCTCGGCACGGCTCGGCACGGCTCTCGGTAGCGAGACCAGGACCCCCCAGGGGGGTCAGGGACTCTCCCCAGGACCCTCAAGGGGGGCAGAGACCCTCCCCAGGGATGGCAGGGACCCCCAACAGGACCCCCAGGTGTGGCAAGGACCCCCGGGGGGTGGCAGGGAACTTCCCCAGGACCCCCAGGGTGCCCCGGGAGCCCTGCAGGACCCTCCAAAGGTGACAGGGACCCCCGGGGATGCCAGGGACCCTCCCCGGGGGTATCAGGGACCCTCCCCAGGACCCTCAAGGGGGGCAGAGACCCTCCCCAGGGATGGCAGGGACCCCCAGGAATGGTGGAGACCCTCCCCAGGACCCCTGGGGGTGCCAGGGACCCCCACCAGGACCCCCCAGATGTGCCAGGGACCCTCCCTAGGGGTATCAGGGACCCTCCCCAGGACCCCCAGGGTGCCCCGGGAGCCCTGCAGGACCCCCCAAAGGTGGCAGGGACCCCCAGGGGTATCAGGGACCCTCCCCAGGACCCCCGCCGCCCACCAGCCGCTCCGACATGGGGGTCTTGTCCTCGTCGGGCAGGTGCTGCTCCAGCGCCAGGACGATGCAGTTGGCGATGATGGTGGCTAAAATCATGTATTCAAAAGGAGTGGGGGGCGAGTCAAGGCAAAAACGCAAGGACCCCCAAAACGTCCCAGGGGCTCCCAAACCCCACCAGGGACCCCCAAATCCCCCAGGGACCCCCAAATCCCCCAGGGACCCCCAAACCCCACCGGGGACCCCCAAACCCCCCCTCTCTGTCAGCGGGGGGGCTGTGACCGGGGGGTCTCTGTGACGTGGGGGCATCTCTGGGGTGGTGGTCCCACGGCCGGGGGGGTTTCGGACCGGGGGGTTTCGGAACCGGGGGGTTTTGGACCGGAGGGTTTCAGAACCGGGGGGTTTCGGGCCGAGGGGTTTCGGGCCGGTGGGGGGGGTCGCCCGGAGCCGCCGGCAGCCGCGGTGGCAGCGCCGCGCTCTGAGTGAGGAATGGTGGAGACCCTCCCCAGGACCCCTGGGGGTGCCAGGGACCCCCACCAGGACCCCCCAGATGTGCCAGGGACCCTCCCTAGGGGTATCAGGGACCCTCCCCAGGACCCCCAGGGTGCCCCGGGAGCCCTGCAGGACCCCCCAAAGGTGGCAGGGACCCCCAGGGGTATCAGGGACCCTCCCCAGGACCCCCCAAGGATGGCAGGGACCCCCAACAGGACCCCCAGGTGTGGCAGGGACCCCCGGGGGTGCCAGGGACCCTCCCCAGGGGTATCAGGGACCCTCCCCAGGACCCCCCAAGGATGGCAGGGACCCCCAACAGGACCCCCAGGTGTGGCAGGGACCCCCGGGGGTGCCAGGGACCCTCCCCAGGGGTATCAGGGACCCTCCCCAGGACCCCCGCCGCCCACCAGCCGCTCCGACATGGGGGTCTTGTCCTCGTCGGGCAGGTGCTGCTCCAGCGCCAGGACGATGCAGTTGGCGATGATGGTGGCTAAAATCATGTATTCAAAAGGAGTGGGGGGCGAGTCAAGGCAAAAACACCGGGCTGGGAGACCCCCAAACCTCCCGGGAGGGAAACTGAGGCAGGAGCGCAGCGCGGAGCGGGGCCGCGCCCCCGGGGTCGGCGCCCGCGTGTCGGGCGGCTCGGTAATTAATTAATTAATTAATTAATTAATTCCCTCATCAAAGCGGCAGCCGCGGCCTCGGCTCCGCGGCGAGATCAAAGCGCCCCGGGCACAGCGGGAGCGGCCGGGAGCGACACGGCACCGCTGGCACCGCTGGCACCGCGGGCACCGGGCACTGCCACCCGCGGGGACGCGTCCCTGCCCTGTCCCCTGTCCCCCTGTCCCACCCCACTGGAGTGCGGCCGTGTCGGGCGGCTCGGTAATTAATAAATAAATTAATTAATTCCTTCATCAAAGCGGCGGCCGCGGCCTCGGCTCCGCGGCGAGATCAAAGCGCCCCGGGCACAGCGGGAGCGGCCGGGAGCGACACGGCACCGCTGGCACCGCTGGCACCGCGGGCACCGGGCACTGCCACCCGCGGGGACGCGTCCCTGCCCTGTCCCCTGTCCCCCTGTCCCACCCCACTGGAGTGCGGCTGGCACCGCGCGGGGGGCTGCGGGCACCCAGCCTGGCACGGCACGGGTGGTCCCACGGGGGTCTCCGGCCTCCCCACGGCCCCGCTGGCACCGGGCACTGCAGCCTGGCACCGGGGGAACAGCCACGGCGCTGGCAGCTGGCACGGGCACCGGGCACCGGGCACGGCCCTGGCACGGGCAGCTGCTGGCCTGGCACGGCACGGTGCCCGGTACCGGGATCCGGCCCAGCTCTGCAACACCCTGGCATGGCACGGGTACCTGGCATGGCTCCTTGGCATGGCACGGGTACCCGGCACAGCTCAGGGATCCAGGACAGCTCTGGTACCGGGATCTGGCCCAGCATGGCTCCCTGGCACGGCACGGGTACCGGTACCGGGATCTGGCCTGGCACGGTTCCCTGGCACAGCTCAAGGATCCAGGACAGCTCCCGGTACCGGGATCCGGCCCAGCACGGCTCCCTGGCACAGCCTGGGCACCCGGTGCCAGTTCCCCCATCATGGTACAGGTACCTGGCATGGGGAGCTGCTGGCCTGGCACGGCACAGCACGGGTACCCGGTACCGGGATCTGGCCTGGCATCACTCCCTGGCACAGCCCAGGGATCCAGGAGGGCTCCCGGTACCGGGATCCGGCCTGGGATGGGTCCTGGATGGCTCCGGTGCCGGGAGCTGGCCTGGCACAGCTCCCTGGCACATCCCGGGTACCAAGGACAGCTCCCGGTACCGGGATCCGGCCCAGCACGGTTCCCTGCACGGCACAGCTCCCGGAACCGGATCCGGCCCGGCTCCTGGCACAGCCCGGCCATCCGGTGCCGGATCCCGGCCCAGCACGGCTCCCGGTACCGGATTCTGGCCCGGTTCCTGGCACAGCCCGTCCCGGTTACCGGGAGCAGCGGAGCGCGGCGCTGCAGCACGGCTCGGCACGGCTCGGCACGGCTCTCGGTAGCGAGATCCGGCCCAGCACGGTTCAGCACGGCTCCCAGTACCGGGATCCAGCCCAGCACGGTCCCGGTCCCGGGATCCGGCCCGGTTCTTGGCCCGTCCCGGTTACCGGGAGCAGCGGAGCGCGGCGCTGCAGCACGGCTCGGCACGGCTCGGCACGGCACAGCCTCCCATCCGCGGGGTGCTCAGCGCCCCCAAACCAATCTCGGGGGGTCCCCCCACCCCTCTCCCCGCGCCCCCCCACCCCCGGTGTCACGAACCGGAGCTCCGGCCCCGCTGCGGCACCGGCGCGACCCCCGCCCCGCAGCCCCGGGACCCCCCCTGGTGTCTGCGGGGGTCCCCAAAAGCTCGGGGTGGAGGCCGAGACCCCAAAACCGCGTGGGGAGCCCCAAAAACCGAGTGGGGACCCCTGAAACCGCCTGGGGACCCCCCCCCCAAACCACCGGGAGCCGTTTTGGGGTGCCAGGGGCCGTTTTGGGGTCGGGGGGGCTTTTTTGGGTCGCTGCTGTTTTAGGGGGCAGGAAAAGGGGGAGGGGGCTCGGAGGAACCCCGAGAGCAGCAGGGGGAGGATGCAGCCCCCCAAAATAGCCCCAAATAGCCAAAAATAGCCCAAAAAAGCCCAAAATAGCCCCCAAAAAAACCCAAAATAGGGCAGGGGAGGGGTCCCCCTTTCCCACCCCCCCGGGTGAGCGGGACCCCCCCCAGTTTGGGGACTGGGGTGGGATCGGGGTGGGGCAGCAGGGGAACGGGTTGGGAAAGGGGTCCCCCGTGTGGGGCAGGGATGGGGACCCCAAAAGGGGGTCAGGGATCCCAAAAAGGCGTTGGGGACCTCAATGTGAGGCTGGGGACCTGAAAAACGGAGTCAGGGACCCCAAAAGGGGATCGGGGACCCCAAAAACGGGGTCAGGGACCCCAAAAGGGGATTGGAAACCCCAAAAGGGGGTCGGGGAGCCAGCGCGGGGCCGGTGACCCCGATCCGGGCAGGGGGAGGTGACGCACGAGCAGAACGGGGACCCCGGCTCGGGGCACGGAAAGGGGGGCCCCCAGGGAGGGCAGGGCTTGGGGGACCCCAAAACGGGCCAGGGGAACCCCAAAACAGGGCAGGGGATGGAGCTGTGGCATGGGGACCCCAAAATGGGGCTGGGGATCCCAAAACGGGGCTGGGCACCCCAGAGCAGGACACGGTGACCCCAAAACGGGACCGGGCCCCCAGAGCAGGACACGGTGACCCCAAAATGGGGCTGAGCAGCTCATGCAGGACAGAGTGACCCCAAAATGGGGATGGGGACCCCAAAACGGGGCTGAGGAGCTCGTGCAGGACACGGTGACCCCAAAACGGGTCCGGGCCCCCAGAACAGGACACGGTGATCCCAAAACGGGCCCGGGCCCCCAGAGCAGGACAGAGTGACCCCAAAATGGGGCTGAGGAGCTCGTGCAGGACACGGTGACCCCAAAACGGGACCGGACACCCCAAAACGGGAGCGGGCCCCCCAGAGCAGGACACGGTGACCCTAAAACGGGGCTGAGGACCCCAAAACGAGGCTGAGGAGCTCATGCAGGACAGAGTGACCCCAAAATGGGGCTGAGGACCCCAAAACGGGACCGGACACCCCAAAACGGGCCCGGCCCCCCCGAGCAGGACACGCTGACCCCAAAAAGGGACCGGACACCCCAAAACGGGCCCGGTCCCCCCAAAGCAGGACACGCTGACCCCACCATGCCCGCAGCTCAGCGCTGGGGGCTGCGCTCGGGGGTCCCCGTGCCCGAACCCCACTCCCCATCCCCGGGGGGCTCCCAGAGCCAGACCCCTGACCCCGCAGAGGCTCGGGGTGGGCGGCGCGGGGGTCGCGCCCCCCGGCAGGGAAGGATATGGCCATTCGGTGATCTTTTTGGCGTATTTCCTCACCACGTTGTCCTCGCTGAAGAGGAAGAGCGAGCGGTTGACGGTGAGGCAGTTCTGGCGCACCGGGATGGGGTTGTACAGGGCCATGGTGCGGGCGCGCTGGGCCATGGACTGCTTGTAGAGCCGCTGCGCCCCGGGGGGGGCACCCTGCCGAGGGCCCCCCCCGGCTCCCCGGCCCCCCAGGTGGTGACCCCCCCTGGGGGCGGCGGGGCCGGGCGGGGGTCGCCGTCAGCCCCCCGGCAGCAGCGCGGCGGCAGCGGGGCCCATCGCGCCGGGCTGCGGCAGAGCTCGCGCTGCTGCTGCTGCTGCTCCTCCTCCTCCTCCTCCCCCTGTCCTCCCCCCTCCAAAACCGGCACCTTCCTCCTCCTCCTCCCAAAAACCGGGACCTTCCTCCTCCTCCTTCCAAAAACCGGGACCTTCCTCCTCCTCCTTCCAAAAACCGGGACCTTCCTCCTCCTCCTTCCAAAAACCGGGACCTTCCTCCTCCTCCTTCCAAAAACCGGGACCTTCCTCCTCCTCCTTCCAAAAACCGGGACCTTCCTCCTCCTCCTTCCAAAAACCGGGACCTTCCTCCTCCTCCTCCTCCTCCTCCTCCTCCCAAAAACCAGGATCTTCCTCCTCTTCCTCCTCAAAAACCGGGATCTTCCTCCTCCTCCTCCCCAAAACCGGGACCTTCCTCCTCCTCCTCCCAAAAACCGGGACCTTCCTCCTCCTCCTCCCAAAAACCAGGATCTTCCTCCTCTTCCTCCTCAAACCCCGGGGCCACCGCGCGGGGGGGGAGGGGCGACACCGCGACCCCCAGATGGGGGAGGGGGGGGATGGGTGTCACCTGGGAGGGGGAGGGGACACACCTGGGCGCGGCTGTGCCGCTGTCACCGTCCCTGTGTCCCCAAAGGCGGCCAGACCCCGCGTCCCTCCCTGTCCCCTCCCTGTCCCCGTGGCCGTGGCACTGTCCCTGTCCCCATGTCCCCAAGGGGGTGGCACTGTCCCTGTCCCCGTGTCCCCATGGCATTCACAATGTCCCCATGGCAGTGGCACTGTCCCCATACTGGCCCCATGGCAGTGGCACTGTCTCCTCCCTGTCCCCAAGGTGCTGGCACTGTCCCTGTCCCCGTGTCCCCGTGGTGGTGGCACTGTCCCTGTCCCTGTCCCTGTCCCCATGGCAGTGGCAGGGTCCCGAAGGGGGTGGCAGTGTCCCTCCCCTTCCTGTCCCCATGTCCCCAAGGTGCTGTCCCTGTCCCTGTCCCCGTGTCCCCAAGGTGGTGGCACTGTCCCCATTCGGGTCCCCATGTCCTCAAGGCGGTGGCACTGTCCCTGTCCCCGTGTCCCCAAGGGGGTGGCCCTGTCTCTGTTCCTGTCCCCAAGGTGGTGGCACTGTCCCCATTCGGGTCCCCATGTCCTCAAGGCGGTGGCACTGTCCCTGTCCCTGTCCCCAAGGTGGTGGCCCTGTCCCTGTCCCTGTCCCCATCCCTGTCCCCAAGGTGGTGGGACTGTCCCCATCCCTGTGCCCGTGTCCCCAAGGCGGTGGCACTGTCCCCATTCCTGTCCCCATGTCCCCAAGGTGGTGGCACTGTCCCTGTCCCCATCCCTGTCCCCAAGGCGGTGGCAGTGTCCCTCCCCTCCCCGTGTCCCCCCAGCCCCGGTGTCCCCAGCCCCAGGTGCCACCCCGGCGCTGCCGGTGGCCTCTGCTCGACCCCGCGGGTGGCCCGGCTGATCACAGGGGACACGAATGAGTAATGAGCCACCACGGTGCCACCACTGTGCCACCACGGTGTCCCCAGTGTGTCACCACGGTGTCCCAGTGCCAGCGCCTGATCACAGGGGACACTAATGAGCCATCACGGTGCCACCACGGTGCCACCACAGTGTCCCCAGTGTGTCACCACGGTGTCCCAGTGCCAGCGCCTGATCACAGGGACTTGCTAATGAGCCACCACGGTGTCCCCAAGGTCACCACAGTGCCACCACGGTGCCACCAGTGTCACCACCATGTCACCAGTGTCACCGCCTGATCACAGGGGACACTAATGAGCCACCACGGTGCCACCACAGTGCCACCACGGTGCCACCACAGTGTCCCCAGTGTGTCACCACGGTGTCCTAGTGCCAGCGCCTGATCACAGGAACGCGCTAATGAGCCACCACAGTGTCCCCAGTGTCACCACGGGGCCACCACTGTGCCACCACGGTGTCCCCAGTGTCACCGCCTGATCACAGGGGACACGAATGAGCCACCACGGTGCCACTGTAGTGTCACCAGTGTCACCATGGTGTCACCAGTGCCACTGCTGTGTCCCCAGTGCCACAGCCTGATCACAGGGGGACACGAATGAGCCACCACGGTGCCACCACGGTGTCACCAGTGTCAGCACGGTGTCACCAGTGCCACTGCTGTGTCCCCAGTGCCACAGCCTGATCACAGGGGGACACGAATGAGCCACCACTGTGCCACCACGGTGTCCCCAATGTCAGCACGGTGTCACCACAGTGTCCCCAGTGCCACCACCGTGTCCCCACATCCCCTGTGCCACTGGCCACGTCCGGCTGTGACCCTGCAGGACACCGGGGGGACACAGAGGGGACGGTGATGGGGACACGGGGGGGACAGGGGCTCTGCCAGTCTTTGGGGACAGGGATGGGGACAGTGCCACCGCCATGGGGACATGGGGGTGATGATGGGGAGCAGTTGGTTGCCATGGTCCCCGTTGCCATGGTCCCCGTTGCCATGGCCCCCGTTGCCATGGCCCCCGTTGCTATGCACCCCCGTTGCTATGCACCCCCGTTGCTATGCACCCCCGTTGCTATGCACCCCCGTTGCCATGGCCCCCGTTGCCATGGCCCCCGTTGCTATGGCCCCCGTTGCTATGCACCCCCGTTGCTATGCACCCCCGTTGCCATGGCCCCCGTTGCCATGGCCCCCGTTGCTATGGCCCCCGTTGCTATGCACCCCCGTTGCCATGGCCCCCGTTGCCATGGCCCCCGTTGCCATGGCCCCCGTTGCTATGGCCCCCGTTGCTATGCACCCCCGTTGCCATGGCCCCCGTTGCCATGGCCCCCGTTGCCATGGCCCCCGTTGCCATGGCGCCCCCGCCGCAACGTGCCCCGTCGCCATGGAAACACGTCGCTGCGAACCCCCCGTTGCCACGGAGCCCCCGTTGCTATGCGCTGCCGTAAGTCACCGCGCTGCGGCGCCGCCTGAGGTCGCGAACGCCGCCGGGAGGGGCGGGGCCGCCGGGAAAGGGCTCCGCCCCCTCTCCGAGGCTGGGCCAATCAGCTGGCGGCGACGGGGAGGAAGGGGCGGGGCGAGGAGCGCAGCCGGAAGAGGCCGGCGGGGAGCGGAGAGCGCGCGGGGGCGAGACCGGGAGGGACCGGGAGAGACCGGGAGAACACGGGAGAACACGGGAGAACACGGGAGAACACGGTGAGTGACAGCGCGGTAACAGCGCCGGCAGAGCCCGGTACGGCCCGGGAACAGCGCGGCCCGGTGAGAGCTCGGTACCGTCCGGTAACAGCGCGGTACGGCCCGGTACGGCCCGGTACGAGCGCGGCGAGAGCTCGGTACTGTCCGGTGAGAGCTCGGTACCGTCCGGTAACTGCCCAGTGCCGCCCGGTGAGAGCTCGGTGACAGCCCGGTAGTGTCCGGTACCGTCCGGTAATAGCTCGGTTCGGCCCGGTACCGGCCCGGTTCGGCCCGGTATGGCCCGGTAGTGACCGGTACTGCCTCGGTAACAGCCCGGTACAAACCAGTGCTCTCTGTGTCTCTCCCAGTACAAACCAGTGCTCTCTCTCTCTCCCAGTACAAACCAGTGCTCTCTGTGTCTCTCCCAGTACAAACCAGTGCTCTCTGTGTCTCTCCCAGTACAAACCAGTGCTCTCTGGGTCTCTCCCAGTACAAACCAGTTCCCGCTGACGTTTCCCAGTTCCGGCTCCCGGCGACCTCCAGAGCTCAGCCATGGTGAGTGGGGGCGGGGCCACGCCGGGGTCACAGGGAGGTCACACAGGGGTCACTGTGAGGTCACACGGGGGTCACATTGCGGGGTTAAAAAAAAAATTTCGGATTTTTTGGGTGGGTTTTTTTGGGGGATTTTTTTCTTTTTTAAGGAAAGGTCATACAGGGGTCACTGTGAGGTCACACGGGGGTCACATTGCGGGGTCACAGAGAGGTCACACTGAGGTCATTGTGGGGTCACACTGTGGGGTCACACCAAGGTCACAGTGGGGTCACACAGGGGTCAGGGTGGGGTCAAACAGGGGTCACACTGTGGGGTCACAGCAGGGTCACAGGTCACTCCAAGGTCATATGGGGTCACAGAAAGGTCACAGTGAGGTCACCCAGGGGTCACAGAGAGGTCACAGTGAGGTCACCCAGGGGTCACTGTGAGGTCACAGCGAGGTCACAGAGGGGTCACACCAAGGTCACAGAGAGGTCACAGTGGGGTCACAGTGGGGTCACACTCTGGGGTCACACTCTGGGGTCACACCAAGGTCATATGGGGTCACTCTGGGGTCGCACTGAGGGGTCACGATGAGGTCACAGAGGGGTCACATTGCAGTGTCACTCCGGGGTCACTCCAAGGTCACACGGGGTCACCCCGGGGTCACTCTGGGGTCACCCCGGGGTCACTGGGGGTCACCCCGCGGCCACGCCCCCTGACCCCTCCCCGATTCCCCGCAGGGCGAGCGCAAGGGCACCAACAAATACTACCCGCCCGACTTCGACCCCGCCAAGGTGGGCTGGGGGCATTGGGGAGGGGCTTGGGGGGGCTGGGGAGAGATGCCCTTCAACATCTGGTGCGACGGCTGCCAGAACCACATCGGCATGGGTGAGCCACGCCCCCTTTTTGGGGGGGCTTCGGGGGTCCCAAAAAGGTTGGGGGGCTCCCCAAACCTGGGGGGGGGGGGCTTGGTTTGACGCCCCCTCCCCTCAATTCCCCCCGCAGGGGTCAGGTACAACGCTGAGAAGAAGAAGGTGGGGAATTACTACACCACACCTGTGTACAGGTGAGGCACCGGGGGGCTCGGGGGGCTTGGGGAGTAAATGGAATTTTGGGATTTTTCATGGGTCCAGAGTTGGAATTTGGGATTTCTTTGGGCCTGCCTGTGTGTGTGTGGATTCTGGGGGGCGTGTGGGGATTTCGGGGTGCCAGAGGCGGATTTTTGGGGGTGCCACCCCCCTCTCTGACCCCCCCATCCCCGTCCCCCCCCCCAGCACGGGTCCCTGAACCGGTACCACGGCAGCCACCCCCTGCGGGAGCGCGCCCGGAAACTCTCCCAGGGCATCCTGGTCATCAGGTGGGCTTCGGGGGGGGCTGGGGACCCCCAAACGGCACCCCCGAACCGCCCTGAGCCCCCCAAAAACCCCCCCAAAAAAACCCCAAAACCCCCCCTAAAAAATCCTCCAAAAACCCCCGAAAAAATCCTCCAAAAATACCCCCAAAAAAACCCCAAAAATCCCTCCAAAAGCCTCCCTAAAAATCCTCCAAAAATCCCCCCAAAAAAACCCCAAACATGTGTGGATTTTGTGGGGCTGTGTGTGTGTGTTTGGATTTTTGGGGTGCCAGAGCCGTGTCTGTGTGGATTTTGGGGTCCCCTGAGCCCCCCCAGGTTCAGGTTCAGGTTGGGGGGACTGGAGGGAGTTTGGGGGTGCTGGGCAGGGTTTGAGGGGGGGTTTTGGGGGCTGGAACTGGATTTTTGGGGTGCCAGAACCGTGTCTGTGTGGATTTTGGGGTCAGGTTCAGGTTGGGGGGACTGGAGGGAGTTTGGGGGTGCTGCGCAGGGTTTGAGGGGGGATTTTGGGGGCTGGAACTGGATTTTTGACATTTTTGGCCGCCAGAACCGCGCGCGTGGATTTCCGGTGCCCGCGTGTGTTTGTGTGCATTTTTGGGGTGCCACAACCACACGTGTGGGTTTTGGGGACCCCCGGGGGACGCTTTGGGGTCCCCCTGAGCCCCGTTTTGCCCCCCAGGTTCAGGATGAAGTGCCACCTGTGCGTGAACCACATCGAGCTGCAGACGGACCCCGGGAACTGCGACTACGTCATCGTCAGCGGCGCGCGGCGCAAGGAGGAGCGCTGGGAGCCCGGGGACTGCGGCCAGGTGCTGCCCGACGGTGAGCCCCAGTATGGACCAGTATGGCCCAGTATGGACCAGTAACCTCTGCCAGTCCCAGGGTCATGATCCCAGTCCATCCCAGTCCATCCCAGTGCCCCCAGGGTGCTGTACTGGCGCTGGGAGCCCGGGGACTGCGGCCAGGTGCTGCCCGACGGTGAGCCCCAGTATGGACCAGTACGGCCCAGTATGGACCAGTAACCTCTGCCAGTCCCAGGGTCATGATCCCAGTCATCCCAGTGCCCCCAGGGTGCTGTACTGGCGCTGGGAGCCCGGGGACTGCGGCCAGGTGCTGCCTGATGGTGAGCCCCAGTATGGCCCAGTATGGCCCAGTATGGCCCAGTATGGACCAGTATGGACCAGTATGGCCCAGGGACCC